GGGAGAGATGGGCTGAGCCTGAGACTGACCGGGGAGGTGAGATGGGATTGGGGTGGGTGGTGCTGGCTGGTGGGGGTAGGACACTAAGGCAAGGCAAAGAGGTTGAAAATGACTCCAGATTTCCTGTTTATGCCTGGACAGCTGTGAGGAGGCGGTGCCCACGAAAATGATGAGAACACAAGGGTTGGGGAGAAGGCAGCCCCTTTGGCAGTGGGCTCCTTTTGCTGTAATCAGAGGTCACTCCAGACAAACTGCCCAGTTCTTCATACTAAAATTGGATGGACAGGGAGGTACACAAAGCAGATCTGGGCCAGAGATCAAGAAGACAAGGATGCCCTCTTTTCAGAACAACCTCATCTGCGCAGCGTTCTGGGCAATCCAAGCTTTGATTTGGAAGGACTCTGACAAAGTACACAGTGAACTAGGGCTGTGCTAGCTCCCTCTGAAGCTTTGAGATGGGCCAGCAACGCCCGACTGCATGTATTAAAAAATGATAATTGAGGTACTACAACAATACAGGATTGTATAATTTTATAGGATGGGTCAACTTAAAATTTCACCAGCCTGTCTTCTGTCAGTGTTAAAGTTTGTATCTTTACAGTTCATACATTACAGCCATCGATACTATGGTCAGATAGCCAGGTGCCCCCTAGAGAAAAATGATGCCAGAGAACAGGAAGTGATTCAGGCTGTACTTTTAGTATTTTTATCAAGTATGTTACTCCTTGGAGAGTGCAGAAAATATTTGTTTAAAATATTCCTAATTTGATGGTACTTTCAAAGTCTGATTTAGTCAGACCATTAAAAGTAGTATAAATCAATAGCAATTATCTACTTCAAAACTGAATCATCATCCCCAAAGAAAAGTGCTATTAGAACACGGTAGATGCCAGGTCATCTGCAATATATCGTCACTCTCATAAAAATAAATAACGAAAGGAAAAGAAAGAGAAAAATCAAAATAAAAGGAACACCTCGTTTTATTTTATTATGCTGATTTAATTTAATCTCCATGGAGGAAGAATGACCTTCTCTTGTACTTCAGTGTTTAAAATCTGGCCAATGTTTCATGTTTTCAAAATTATTTTTAATTTTAAGAGAGTATAATTTACCAATTAGATTAATTGTGTTTATTCCTGCTGGGAGACTACAAAGACTCTTATTTTTAGTTCATAACAGAAGTTTCTGTAGCCCTTTGGATCATGGCTGGGATTCTGCATTTTTATTATAGCAAGAGGAGCTTTGATGCTTGGATATGTTATGGAAGGACAGAACGTTTCGTACAGCCAATCTCTCCCTACACGTTAACTTGGCCCTTTTTAGTCATACCTTTTTGAAAATGCAAATTATTTCACATAACATATAAATGTATGTAGCATCTTACATACAATTTTAATGCATCCAGATCCCTAAAGCTATAATTCATTATAGCATTTTAATTGACTTGATCTACATTAGTATATGTGCCCTAATATGCCAATCATTTGCAAATTCAAGCTTAGTTTTGATAAATTTTTACTTTTTGACAAATTATATTACATTAGTATAAAATAATGTATTCTTAATATATTGATCACTCATTTGATAGATTTGCAAAATGTAAATACCTGCCTTTCCCATTTCACTTTAATTGATATTCCTCAAACACTGGGACATTGCTAGTCAAACAGGTAGGTTGAGGAGCAGCACCTTCCTAAGCCTGCACAAAAACATTTTTACAATGTCATTATTTAAAGTGTTCAACTTTCAGTTATTTGAAATATGCCTTTTGCAAGCCACTTTTTTTTTTTTTTGAGATAGAGTTTCACTTTTGTTGTCCAGGCTGGAGTGCAATGGCGTAATCTTGGCTCACTGCAACCTCCGCCTCCTGAATTCAAGAGATTCTCCTGCCTCAACCTCCCAAGTGGCTGGAACTACAGGTGCATGCCATCACACCCGGCTAATTTTTGTATTTTTAATATACACAACGTTCCACCATGTTGGCCAGGGTGGTCTTGAACTCCTAACCTTGGGTGATCCTCCTGCCTTGGCTTCCCAAAATCCTGGGATTACAGGTGTGAGCCACCATGGATGATCAAGCCATTTGTTTTTTATAGGACGCTGCTGCTTGACCAAGTTTGAACATACTTTCATTCAATTATGATGATCTTTATGTATTATAAAGAGCTGATTTTATATTATAATGTCTTTTTGTTTTTGTTTTTTGAGAAAGGGTCTCACTCTGTTGCCCAGGCTGGAGTTCAGTGGTGCTATCATGACTCACTGCAGCCTCGACTTCCTGGGTACAAGTGATGCTCCCACCTCAGCCTCCCAAGTAGCTGGGACTATAGGCACACATCATCATACTTGGCTAATTTTTTTGTAGAGATGGGGTTTTGCCATGTTTCCAGGGCTGGTGTAGAACTCCTGGACTCAAGCAATCTGCCTGTCCTGGGCTCCCAAAGCTGGGATTACAGGTGTGAACTACCATGCCTGGCCTATAATGTCTTTCTAATATTTAAAGTGTGTTTTCATACTGCCCATGAAGACAATTATATGAAATGGTTATTTGGGATAAATATACAATAAATGTTCTATATATGTTACAGAAATCAAACTGCCTTGAAGGGAATGGCACTAGGGCTGGATTAATTTACAACACAAATTCCCCCTTTTCTGGTGTGTTGGCCCATGCAACTGAGGAGACAGTCAGGAGATCACATAGCATCAAAGTGTAGAAGGGATGTGGCTGTATGGGATGGTCATTGCCTCTTGAGTCTGAGTCAGGTATATTGAAATTCCCACCCAGAGATTGCCTCCTCCTTAATATTTATCTCCCTGACTTTAAAAAGATAAAAACTTGCAAGTTGTGTTTGCGCTAGCTCCATTGAGGACTGCTACTTCACTTTGACCCTAAAAATGGGTTCTTATGTCTGTTTCTCAATTAATTAGAGCATAAAGGGAAAAATTGGGTGCACCGTAAGAAAGAAAAACCTCTCTTACCAAACTTCCATTGAAGGTTTGTGCACACATACTATTATTATGTCTAACAATCATTACTCATGCAAGTTTTTATCCTTTCTGTTCTTATTGAAATTTAGGAGGTTTGTATCAGGTGCCACTTGCTGGAGCCATCTCTACACCCCAAACAAACCCACATTTCCTAGGCTGAATGATGCTGTTTGTGGGGTAATGAGAGAGGTCAGCATGACTAGGGTGAAGGGTGTCTGCTGGGGAGGATGGAGAAGTAGGGCTGTGGGCTGATGGTGAGTTTATGCTGGGGCTTGGCAGCTAAGCAGACAGACTGCAGCTGATGCAGTAGGACAGAGGAGCCATAGAGCTTTGGGGCAGATGGTAGCAGAATTGGGCTTAAGGGATTTTGCCTGGTATGGATTAGAGAGGAGAAAAGCCAGAGCCAGGGAGATAAGTATTAAAGAAAAGAAATTCTCTTGCTGGGAGTTGTATTATGCCTATCTCAAAGACAAGGGCAAGAAACCATATCTTATAAAATCATGTTCCCTCTAGACCCTGATAGTATAAAAATTTCCTCCTTGCCTATTCACCCTGCATTAGCTAACACAAGAAAGTGATATTGGGTCATTGCTAGGAGCAGAGATACCATAAGCTTCTTCAAAGACAGACACCAGGACCTTCATCTGCACATCTGTAGTCCTTGGAATATAGTAGGTCTTACAAAAACGTTTGTCAAGTGAATGAATGAAAATAAGAGCAAATGAAAATGGAAGCAAAATATGCTTGAGGATATAATCTTTCTTGGACCACAAGTCAAATGACAATGGATAACTTCAGATTCCTAGCTGTGCATCTTTTCCTCTGAGAACTGGATAGCTGGAATAACAGACCATTCCATTTCCTTTCCAACAGGCCACACTGAACGAACATCTGCTGAGAACCATAAAGTGCATGAAGAAGTTTGTCCATGACATCACTCCATACCCAACAGGAGGGGAAGGGGCTGCGGACTGAAGGTAAGCTGTGCATTCCTTCAGCTGGCAAATGTGAAGCCCATCTAGGTATTTCCTCATGCAATGAGAACTACAGCAGTATGGGGACCCATGAAAAAAGCCTGCCATAACTCTGAAAATGATTTATTTTCAAAAGCAGAAGAAAATTTTAGAAAATATATAAATAAGATACGTGATAGCAAGTTTAATCATTCAGAAATGTCAGTAGATTAAAAATCAAAGACACAGGCTGGCAGTGCCAATGTCTCACAGCCCTCCAGAGGAGTTGTGGCCAGAGCCAAAGGTCAGAGCAAAATGTGGAAAATCACTGACAGACCGGGACCATGGGCAGGAAGCCTTGAAAGACTGAGTCAAGCAAAGGCAAAGCTGGAAGGCAGGATGCCAGTTGAGAACACCTGATCTAACTATAGCCACGTTGGAGACGTGCCCCTGCAGGAGCCATGGAGTGAAAGTTAAGGGACCTGAGCCAAAGGGGCTTATGAATAGGAACCAACTCTTCCTTGGCATTAAAGGGGCAGCCCTCTGGGCTGGTTGGGTGGCTTTTATCCAATTGCCCTAGACCTCACCACTTACTACTGAACATTTTTTTTTTTCTTGAGACAGAGTCTCGTTCTGTCACCAGGCGCCAGGCTGGAGTGCAGTGACGCGTCTCCACTCACTGCAACCTCCGCCTCCCGGGTTCAAGCAATTCTCCTGCCTCTGCCTCCCAAGCAGCTGGGACTACAGATGCGTGCCACCATGCCCAGCATATTTTTTATATTTTAGTAGAAACGGGGTTTCACTATGTTGGCCAGGATGGTCTTGATCTCTTGACCTCGTGATCCACCCGCCTTGGCCTCCCAAAGTGCTGGGATTACAGGCATGAGCCACCGCACCCGGCCCACTGAACATGTTTTTAAGGATCTCTTTAAATCTGCACCTCTCTTTTAGAGGACCCATTTCCTAATGGAGGCAGTGCAGCAGAACAAACAATGAAACGATTGAATTCTGCCTCATCCATGTCTGCCAAGGCATAAGAATGGTCAAAGCACTCACGTTCCACAAAGTACGAGCTGGCGTCAATCTTCCAGATGATCTGGCCCCGATGAGAACCATTGACTCCACGGTTCTTGTAGTCCAGAAAGTTTTCAGACAAGACCTCATCTATACTCCCAGAGGAAGAAAACACAGTAAAGAAACAGCGTATCAGTCAACAGCATATTTAGGGGAATAAAAGAAAGCGAGCAAACGATACAAATGCTGCTTCCACCTCAAAAGAAGAAAATGCACCTGGAGTCAGAGCATCAGATAGCAGAAAGCATCCCAAAGACGCCATGGGACCAAAGGCTTTTTGTGCAGGAATCTCCTCCCCACCCCACAGCTCTCCTGGCAGGAGATCATCTAGCTGGTTGGGGAATACCTCCAGAAACAGAGCAATGATTACTGCTATTGCATTCACTTCACTTTTAATTGGCTCAGTGTGAAAAGCTCAGTGTGAAAATCTTCCTCCTAAAGCTTCTATGAACTGATCCCTATTTAAGACTGAGGTCAAGACATAAAGAAAGAGTCTCCATTTGGGGAGTAGTTCTCACAGACTCCACCTCGTATCATCTCTCCTCCCACCTGGGCATCACCACCATCCTACACATAGTTGCACCCCTGAAGTTATCTATCCATCCATCATGCACTCACTCATGCATTGTTCATTCAACAGCTGAAATCCAACCATCTGCCAGATGCTGGGGAAGGTGCAGGGGTTGTGGTGTTGGGCATACCAGTGTGATCTCTTCTGAACCAAAGCTTACAAACAATTGAGAAGATAGACTGTAAACACGAAGCAAAGAAATAACTGTTTGATCATAACTTGTGATAAGAGATGGAAAGGAGGCCAGGCATGGTGGCTCACACCTGTAATCCCAAAACTTTGGGAGGCCGAGATGCAGATCACGTGAGTTCAGGAGTTCGAGACCAGCCTGGCCAACACGGTGATGAGAGAATGTGTTCTCTTTCTGCATCCACAAGGGGGAGTAGTTTTAAGGGCAAGAACTTCCCAGCGCCATGCCCCCCTCCCAACTCTCTCCATCCTGGAGATTTAATGGTTTATGTTTGAATTTCACAGGCAAGGGAAGTAACTAAGAGTCAATCAGTCCAGTGGAAGTTCTAAGGAACTCCTTTCATTGGCCCTGGGGTCTTAGAGAAGGTGGTGGTTCCTCCTAGGTTAAAAGTCCTCTTCTTCCACACCCCTTTGGACTCCATGTTTGGGTCCCCTTCCATGAACACTCCCTTTGTGGGAGCCATCTTTCTCTCTCCTGGATTTCCCCTCTGGAGTCCCCTTCCACACTCTCTTGTGGAAGCCTGTCTTCCCCTCCTAAATTCCATCTCTCTCTGTTGCCTTCCACTCAGTGTGGAAGCTGCTTTCCTCTCCTGGATTCCATCTTTCTGGATTCTCTCACTCAGTGTGAGACTTAGCTGTTTCTCTCTCTTTAAATAAATCACTTTCTACACTTTTGGGTCCAGCATTTGCTGCACACTGCACCGTGGTCCCCTCTGTCATTCTTGAGAGGGCAGGAGGCCAAGAACCTGGAGAAACATTCTCTCAGGGAGCTGAAGGCACCCTGAACCCCTGAACCCCAATATTACATTTTGGCGAGCCAGCCAGGAGAGGAGTACACTAGAAAAGGGGTACAGCCAGGAGAGGGGTACAGCTGGAGAGAAGACTTCAAAATCGTGAGTAAAACCAGCCCCATTCTGTTCTGTCTCTTTAAGAACACCTGAAGCAGCACAGCCAGGTGGGGCTGCAGCGAACCTGAGCAGCAGTGCCTGGAGGCATGACCTAGCCCCTCTTAAGTGGTGTGGCCCAGCCAGAATTAAAAGTGCAGTTTTTGTTTTGTTTTTTTTTTTTTTACCTCCAAGCTCTCTCTTTGCTTTCCGTCTCCTTCTCTAGTCCTCAGATATTATCTCTGGGACCAAAACCGGCGGGAGCCTGTGGGGTGGAAAGGGTAAGCAGCCTCCACTTTCTGCTCCTTGCAGCCGGCAACAGCCCAGCCCAGGCGGGGAACTGAGCCACAGGGCCCTCAGCCGGAGAAAACAGCAGGGAGGGGCGAGGTACAGCATGAGCCTGCAGGGGACCGGGGGCACTGCGGCCTGTGCATGGTTCCGGCAGCCTCTCCTGTGTTCCCCAGTCCCAGGCAGCAGGGTAAAAAAAGCTTCCCCAGGGCGTTTGCCTGCCGGCCAGCTGTGAACCCTGTGTGGGCAATGGCTTGGGGAGTGGCCCAGGCGTGCACGTGGTTCTCGCAGGGTCAACATGGCGACCGAAAGCCCCGAGGATGGGGGAACTCACCTGCCCAGCGGCAGCTGCAAGCAGCTTTTAAACCCATAACGGCAAGTGGTTTTTTTCTCTAGGTGGGCCAGCTGAAAGAAAAGAAGCAGCTGCTGGCCATCAGCCCCACCCGGCTTTGGGCAGGCCACGCCGCCTTAGGGTGCAGCATTCTCATTCAAAATACGGCTTTAGAAAGCTTTCTGCCTTACTTCAACGCAAGTGATCTATCAGCACAGCTGGTTAAGGTGTAAGGCCTATAACTGCAAGGTGGGTGGCTCAAATCCCCTGTGGAGTCAGACTTCAATTGGCAAAACCTTTTGAGAAATTTAGAAGCTGAAGGCTATGGGACTTTGTTTGGTGTATGATTTGTCTTGCTTAGGATTGGCTCTCTCTATGGCAGAACTTTTCCATCTAGAAAATCATAGTTAAACTGGTTCAAGGCCCCAGATAGTCAATGGCAGGTCTCACAACCTTAAGGGCAATTTCCTACAATGGAAAATGGGTTAGGGGAGAGGAGGCCCGGGTCCTGAGGGTATTGTTTCAGCTGCTGCGGCCCAGCCTGCCTTCTTTGAACTGTGTGTTCTAATGGCCTCTCCCTAGAGTTTTACCCTTCTGGGGCAGTTTTATAAATTGGCCTGTGTAAACTGGACTTTTGCAGGGAAATATTGGTACCATATACTTTTCTCCCATGCCTTCCTCATTATGCCAGAAAGTCCCATTCCCTTACTAGGGCAGGACTTGCTGGCCAGAGCAGGAACCACTATCTATACCAACCTCATTAGGGAGGAAATCCCTCTCTGCTGCCCACTATTTTAAGAGGGGATTAGTCCTGAAGTTTGGGCAATGGACGGACAATTTGGATGGGCAAAGAATGCATGCCCAATTTGAATAAGGCTAAAGGATCCCACCTCTTTTCCTTACCAAAGACAGTACCCCCTAAGACCAGAAGCCAAAAAGGGACTACAGGATATTGTAAGGGACTTAAAAGCTCAGGGTCTAGTGAAGTCCTGTAACAGCGCTTGTAATACTCCAATTTCAGGAGTACAGAAACCTAATGGTCAATGGAGGCTGGTGCAGGATCTTCACTTAGCAATGAAGCTGTGATCCCTTTATACTCAGCAGCCAGGAGGGGCACAATGGTTTACAGTTCTGGACCTTAAAGATGCCTTTTTCTGTGTCACACTACATCCTGACTCGCAGTTTGTTTGCCTTTGAAGACCCTTTAGACCAGAGTTCTCAGCTCACCTGGACAGTGTCACCTCAGGGCTTTAGAAACAGCCCCAACCTGTTTAGCCAGGCCCCAGCTCTTGTCGACTAAGAAACCTTAGTCGTTTCTCACATCCAGGTACCCTGGTTCTTTGTATCTGGATGACTTTTTAACTGCAAGCTCAGAAACCCAGTGTCAGCAGGCCACTCAGGACCTCCTAAACTTCCTTGCCGCCGGTAGTTACAAAGTTTCCAAACCAAAGGCCCAACTTTGTAGGCAGGAGTCTAGGGCCAGTCTTGTCTAAGGGCACTTGGGCCCTAGGTAAGGGACATCTCCAACCCATACTGGGCTTCCCCCATCCCAAGACTTTAAAATAGTTACCAGGATTCTTGAGAATAACTGGTTTTGCCGATTGTGGATTCCCAGATAGGGTGAAATAGCAAAACCTCGGTACACTCTGATTAAGGAAACCCAAAAAGCTAAGACCCACTTAGTACTCTGGGGCCCAATAGCTGAAGCAGCCTTACCACTGCAGGCTCCGGCTCTAACCCTTCCTACAGGGAACGACCTCTCCCTATATGTTACAGAGAAGTCAGGAGTGGCACTGGGGGGGTCTCAGATTCAGGGAGCCACACCACAACCAGTGGCATATCTAAGGAACAAAATTGACGCAGTAGCAAAAGGCTGGCCACACTGCTTGTGAGTTGTAGCTGTGGTGGCTGCACTAGTCTCAGAGGCAGTTAAAATAGTGCAAGGGAAAGATCTAACTGCATGGACTTCACATGATGTCGCTGGAATTCTGGCCTCTAAAGGAGGCTTATGGCTGTCCGACAATCACCTCCTCAAATATCAGGCCTTAGTGCTCTAAGGGCCTGTACTCCAGCTGTGCACATGTGCAGCCCTCAACCCAGCTACTTTCCTCCCTGAGACAGGAGCAGACACAGAGCATGATTGTCAGCTCGGAACTATGTGGCTGGAAAGGATCTCTTAGATACTCCTCTAGCCAACCCTGACCTTAACCTTTACGCTGAAGGAAGTTCCTTTGTGGAAAATGGAGTTTGAAAGGCAGGATATGCAGTAGTCAGTGATCAAACAGAGCTTGAAAGCAGTTCCCTTCCTCCTGGTGTTAGTGCCCAGCTGGCAGAACCGATAGCCCCCACCCAAGCTCTAAAGTTAGGAAAAGGAAAGCAAGTCAACATACACACAGATTCCAAATATGCTCACCTGGTTCTGCGTGCTCATGCTGCCATACGGAAGGAAAGAGAGTTCCTAACCTCGGCAGGAACTCCCGTTAAATATCGCAAGGAAATGTTAGACTTATTGCAACTGTCCAAGAACCCAAAGAGGGAGCAGTCTTACAGTGTTGGGGTCACCAGAAAGGAGAGGAGAAGGTAGCTGAGGGCAATCCCCGAGCTGACCTGGAGGCTAAAAGGGCAGCTAGACAAGCATTTATGGGAGAACCCCCTCCAGGGAACTAGACCTCAATACTCATCAGAAGAGGTAGAGTGGGCAATCTCCCAGGGACACGATCTTCTTCCTTCAGGATGGTGAGCCACTGAGGAGGGAAAAGGGCTTCTACCTGCCGCCAGCCGGTGGAAAGTACTTAAAACCCTACAACAAACCTTCCATGGAGGCGTA